GGGCTTACCTATATTCCCAGACCAAGACTAAAAGGTCGAAAGCTATTGAACTTTCCTGGTCTAACTTCAGTGAGAAGAATCAATTGCTACAAGGGTGCTTTGTTTATGGGCTGCCTTTTTTTTAAGAAAAGTAAATCACAAACATACACAATTACTCATAAAAAACATATCTAAAGTCCAGGTTTTACGTGGGTACGAGAAATTATTTGTAAAAAACATTGCTAAAGTTCAGTTTTTATATGGCTACAAGAACTCAAATTTTAGATGTATGAATTTATGTTTTGTACGGATGATTGTGTGTTTTAATTTCATCCATAAAGTCTAAGTTAATGATTCATGGATGAGCCGGAGACAATGTTTCCTTCCACATCGTCATGCTTTAGAACAAAGAAGGTTCCAAGTAGTGAAACAAAGACTAGAAAACAATGTGACCTATTCAACATAGACTGTTGATAGTTCATAATTGTGCACACTTTGTAAGGGTCACTAGGGCTGGCCTCACCCTTCATATTTTTGTGTTTTTCTTTTTCATTTTCCTTCTTTGGCAAGCAAAGAAATGTGCACTGTTGTCTTGAGCTGACTCGTAAAAGGAAAATCACAGTTATTAGTTGACTAAGGGTGCAACTTGGATGGTTTATATAAGGCTCGGGTTAATTCCGAGTTTGTGAGTTTATTGTTATTGCTATGGTGTTTCATGTCACCCTATGTCAATTTTAAACGCCCTATGTTAGTGGATTATCCTAGTCATGACCTGATATCCACCATTTTCCAATGTAGAATAACCCATTATTTCACCATTGCCTTGTAATTAACACAAATAATACATTTTTTTGGGCATATCATCCTTTTGCTAATAAATAAAATATAAATTTGAGGTAATTGAATCATAATTCCCTTAAAATCCAATATTACATTCCCCTGGGAAAAGAGTTGTAGGATGGGCGCGTGAGATAACAAAAGTGAATTCAATGGGATAGAAAGTGGTTGATTGCCAGCGAGGATTCATCTCTCTAGTGTTGGAGGTTCCAATATCAACAAATAAGTTATAGGTCTCTCAAAGCATCTCCGACGGATGATCTAAAACACATAAAATCTTCAAATTTTAACTATTTAGATCAAAAATTTCATTCCAACAGAATACTCTATATTTAGAGTATCACTGTAGCGATATATAAATTTTTTTATAATATTTTCTCTCTTTTCCTCTCCTTTTTTTCTATTCTCTCTTTTTCACTATTCTCAAAAAAAAAATAATACAAAAGGAATAAGAAATAATATTTAAAAATAGTAATTAAAAATATAAAAAAATCTGTTAGAGTGTGTATTAAAAATGTAAATAGCTAAAATAGAAAATATTTTTTGTTGAATAACTAAAATAGTTTTTGCTGTTGGAGATGCTCTCACAAGATACATAAGTTATAGGTCTCAATATATCATAGAATGAATTTGTATCTTCTCTAATGTATATTCTCTTGATTTTATTTATTGTAGCATCATACATCTATTTGTACCTAAAATATAAAATTATAAGAATGTTCGATGCACCAATACCTGACAAATTGGGGGATATTAAAAAACAAACCACGTGATAGGATCTGAGAAAATATGAAAGATGGTTAGACACAACTTTATTTGAAAAAGGAATAACTGTCTGGGAGTTTCAAGTCAGATAATCGTCGATGGAGGTGAAATTGTCGAGGATAATAGCTATAAAAAGTAGAAAAAGAGAAAGTTGAGATACATATTCAAACCTCTACAAGACCAACGATCTGAACATTTTTAGGAATAATATTAAGTTAATTTTTAGGAAGTAGTTATTATTGTAAACAAAGACTGTTAATTTAGTCTTTCTATAGCTGAATAACCCTTTTATTGAATTAATAAATAGATTTTTTTTTATTAGTTCACGATTCTGTGTATTTATTGTTTTAAATTTCATCCAAAAAATTCCTGAAATAAGACAGTTGAACCTATCGCTAGTAATCACCTAAAAATTGTCTGTCAATTGAGTTTCCCTTATTGATAATAACAGATTTTGGAGCAACAATCTTTTTGCACGCTTAATGAGCCATGTAAGCTATCAATTATTTTCGTTTGTTCATTTATAATGTTGATACGTATCCTAAATTTATCGAATACTACACACATAATCTAAATTCACATAACAAACACCTTTCTCTCTTCTTTCCAATGTAGAAATCACTATTCGGCTTACTTAGCATCACACCAAGCCATTGGTTCAGCATCTAATGCGAGTTTAAATAAAGAAAAATATTATTTTGGATATAATTTGTTGATTTAATGCATTTGTTTGACATATTTTTAGATTGCGGACATGCCAAACTTTAGGTGGACTTAAAATTTAAACACGTACGATTTTACCTACTAGAATCAATGTAGGGTTCTAACAATTGTGACTGTTCAGACGATTCTAGTGAGGCATACGGTGATATCTAGGTTTTTTTTATATGCCTTCGAGCTTCAAAGACTTTGGATAATTTCATTGGTCAGTGGCGTGTGAACACTACTGAAAGTAAATAGTGAAAATGCAAAGTAACAAGTAAATTAAATTTGAATCTAAAAGAGGAATCGAACATTTAACTTAGTATTAAATAAAAGCAATAAAATATCAATGGAGTGACATATTATAGGAAAAAATAAAGATTGTTCGAAAATAAGGATTAAGTAAAAAGATAGGTTGGCTCAATGAAGAGTATTTGTGATTTGATCATGGGATTCCTTTCCAATAGGCTAGCTTCTGCTATTAACAGAAAGGACTTTCAACCGTAAATCCATCTTTTCTAACTCTGACTTGTGATCATGGTCCTGTTTCTTGAGATACATAAACATGTGCTAAAACGTTTCCAACTGACAACTCATGATATCACGTTTCTTGGTTTCTTGGGATTCCAAGAGTCTTATTTCTCTAATCGTCTTGTCGATAGTAAACTTTCACAGACTTCTTTATCGCCGTCATTCCTTCCACATGTCACCCTCAAATTTTGTTATTTTTGAGTGTAAATAACATCATAACTATTAAATTAGTAACGAAACTTAGTCAATTATAGAGTATATTGTCACTCCAATGATAAAGTAATTATTAGATCAACAAATTAAGTCCAAGTAGCATTATTCTTATACGAACTTCATTAAACATGAGAAATGTTTTTTGAACTTAATTTACTAAATTGATTTATTGACCTAATACATCACAACCATTAAATTAGTTATAGATTTCAATTATTACTAAGAGGCCCAGTTTCAATCTAATGATAATGATTTATTTAAATAAATAAATTATATAAATAAATTAGATTTAAGTAGTATTATTATTAAATTTTAGGAGTTAATTACGGTACCCAAAAAAATAATTCGGTATCATACCTTAATTACCACATTTGTGAGTGTTTTTACTATTGTTTGGTACCCAAAAATTATAAAAATAATTACTATAATAGTTGTAAAAACATCCACAAATAGGATAAATCACCTATAAAAATAATAATTTTTTTGTATAAAATAAAAGTAGTAAAAATAGTTACCACAAATGTGATAAAAACACTAATAACAGTGATAAAAATACCTATAAAAATAATAATTTTTTATTATAAAATAATCAATAAAAATTATAAAGACACTTATTAAAATAATAAAAATTAAAAGTACGATATCAATTTTTTTTGTTCGTCACCATTGTGAAATCCTACATTTTCTACTCATCTAGAATGAATGGTATACCATTGAAAATTTTCAAACAAGGGGGTTGTTTTTTGGGTTAATTACAAAATGTCTCATCCATGTTTGGGTCATTTTGCAATCAACTCCCTCAAGTTTTAAATTCGAAAATTTGCCTCCTCTAAATTTGAATAATTTTCAATTAACTTTTACCATTAGTTGACCACCATTAAAAATAACGGAAGTTTATTAAAATTCCAAAACTATCCTCATCTTAATATTTTATGTAAAAAAAAATAAAAATAAAACCTCCCTCCCCCTTGGTGAATCCACCTCCCCCCCTTTTTCCGGTGAATCCATCTCACCCATCGGTCCAAAAAAAAAAGAAAAAGAATAAGAAAATTCCATCTTCACCCATGCCAATAGATCTGCTAAAGCTCCCACAGTCCCTTCCCAACAACAATCCTTACCCGCAACAATCCTTACCATCAAAGACCAACAACCACCATGACGAGTATTTACAGTGGTGGTGTATTTTCGGTGAAATTTTTCAGTGGTTTGTTGTTGGGTGATAGCTGCGGTTATGGGTGGTCGTGTGATTGTGGCTAGTTGGTGGTTGCGATGGTTAGTGGTTGAGTGATTGTGCCTGAGTGGTGGTTGTGGTGGTTTATAGCTGGGTGGTGATTACGATGGGTTGGTGGTTGCGATGGTTTTTGGTTGAGTGATTGTGGCTGAGTGGTAGTTGTGGTGGTTGGTGGCTGCGATGGTTTGTGGTGGGTGATTATGGTTGGGTGGTGGTTGCGGTGGTTTATAGCTAGTTGATTGTGTCTGGTTGGTGGTTGCGGTGGTGGCGTTGGAGCATTTGGCTCGATTGGGCAAATGGAAAGGAAAAAAAAATGAAGATCAAAATAAAGGTTAAGAGTAGAAAAGTAATTTTAAAATTTTTGTCTAATTCATCAATCAACTTGCTAAGTTCGAAACTTGAAAGGGACAAATTGTTTAATTTTAAACTAGAGAGACCTAATTGAAATAAAACCTAAAATTCAAGGGAATATTTTGTAATTAACCCTTGTTTTTTTTCGGTCAAACCAAGTTTGCATTGGATGACAACTAAATTAGGAAATCCCACGCACCACATCACATTCCAAACGTTTCATTGCACGGGCTTCGGAAAAACAGCAAAGACGGTCTTCTTTCTTACCAACTAACGGTCCACTAAACGCCGTCTAAATCCCTTCGACTTCGACTACCCTACACCATTATAAAAGCGTTGATTACACGCTAATCCCAGTCAGAATTCATTTTTTTGCCCTTTTTACCCCTCTCTCCATTAATTTCCCACCTTATATCCCCCTCCACCATCATTTTCTCCACCCAAACACCCCCTCCCCTCTTTCTCCTCGCCGGACTATTTCATTTCCGGCAATTTAGGGTATCTTTTACCTGGTTATTGATCGAAGATTCATATGCTCTAACAATTTTGAATCTTTCTTCGGTGAGTTTTTCTTTTTTGAAGTAAAGCTTCGATTTTGTTTGTTTTTCTCGGATCTAAGAGAAGAGGCGACGAATCAAGGGTTTATAGACGTAGATGTCGAATACGTCCTCGTATTGGTGTCATAGATGCAACCGATTCGTTAGGGTTTGGAACCAGGAATCGATCGCTTGTCCCGATTGCAACAGCGGATTCATTGAAGAAATTGGAACTCCGAGTAGATCTGGTCTATCGGACTCACGACGACGTCGTTTCCCAGCGGCGGCGATGTACATGATGGGAAATAATCGCAATTCGGATAGTCAGAATTCGAGTCCAAGGGTCAGGAGAAGCCGGAGGACCGGCGGTGACCGGTCACCTTTCAATCCGGTCATCGTTCTTCGTGGACCGTCGGATAATGTTGGCGAAACGGGTAATGGGTTTGAATTGTATTATGATGATGGAGCTGGGTCGGGTTTGAGGCCGTTGCCGGCGACTATGTCGGAGTTTTTGTTGGGATCGGGTTTCGATAGGCTTTTGGATCAATTGGCCCAAATTGAAGTGAATGGAATTGGACGAATCGATCATCCACCGGCTTCGAAGGCGGCGATTGAGTCATTGCCGACAATTGAGATTGTGGAGAGTCATGTAGATATTGAATCACACTGTGCTGTTTGTAAGGAAGCCTTTGAATTGGGTACGGAAGTTCGCGAAATGCCGTGTAAGCATTTGTACCATTCTGATTGTATACTTCCTTGGCTTGCTTTGCGCAATTCTTGCCCTGTGTGTAGACACGAGTTACCAACGGATAATCGAGACTCTGGCGAATTGAATAGAGGGCAAATTGAACAAAATGTGGGGGCAAATGATGATGAGACTGTTGGGTTGACGATATGGAGACTGCCTGGTGGTGGGTTTGCGGTTGGGAGGTTTTCTGGAGGTAGGAGAGGTGGGGAGAGAGAGCTTCCGGTTGTTTATACTGAGATGGATGGTGGGTTTAATAATAATGGTGCTCCGAGGAGGATTTCTTGGGCTTCTAGAGGGAGTGTGTCGAGAGAAAGTGGTGGATTGAGGAGGATGTTTCGCAGTGTGTTTGCTTGTTTTGGTGGGGCAGGATCTTCAGCTTCCAGATCAAGTTCAGGTCCTAGGATGACTAGAAGTAGTAGTTCTTCGTCATCATTTTCTAGCATGCCCTCGCGGGGGCGCAGGGCTCGGGCATTTGAAGTTCATAATGAAACTAGGAGATGGTGATTTTTATGGAGGATTTTGAACGAATCTTATCTGTTTTCTCCATGAGTTTGCCTGGCTGATACTCTGATTAACCAAGAATGTTTGGTATAGGGATGATTTTATGTGGAATACATAGTAATCATTCATTGTATATAGTCAGGAATGAGAAAGAAATGCAGACCACTTATGTTCAATTTACATCCTGTCTCGGACTTGGGCAGTGGTATATGTTTAGCAACTGAGCCCTAATGTGACCAAATGAAGAAGGTAATGAAGCAGATGAAGGTGACCTTAAAGGAACAGACTTTAGTGTTAGAATTGGCTTCTCGGAAGCGGGGAGGTACACAGTCGATTGTTCTATAGTGCCTAGAGTGCATGTGGGCTTATCTATTTTTTTTTAGCTTTAATTTGCTGTCATTATATTCAGTAAGTTATTGTTCAGAAATATGATTTCTATTCCACTTGTGAAACTTGTTCATTTATTGTCCCGAAGTATTATTTCTATTACACTAATGAAGTTTGTTCATTTGTTGTTCAGAAATTTTGATTTCTATTCAACTTGTGAAGCTTGCTGCATGAGATGTTACTCTATCTGTCTCTTTACAAACATATATTATCGTCATTTCTTATAAGAAATTTTTAATGCGAGCTAATGGGTTCATTGATTGTATTCTCGTGGCGGACTCTCAATAAGAGTTTAGTATGACAAAGGAAATTACAATGCTGTAAAAGGTAGGCCAATTTCAGTGTGTTAGAAACTTAGAATACTGTTTTGGTTCTGATGTTGTTCTGTGTTTACCAAGGGTGGAGAGCTACCTTAGTAGACAATAATCGTCAGGAGGTAAGTTCTTGTTCTCTTACTATTCAAAAGGCCCGTAAAAGTTGGATCATGTGAGAAATTGTACCATTATTTGATTGGCTTGAATTTTGTGAGCAAGCTGATGGGAGTAGCTGCCAAATAAGGTATTCTAAATTGTCAGTATGGTTGAAAGATTTAGATTTAACAAGATTGGGGATTTTAAACCCCAGAAAGGTTTGAACCCCAAGTTCACTCTATGGAGGAAAAGAGCTTCATGAAGCTGCCTTTCCAGATGAAGCCTACTGGAAAATGGAGAGAGAAATGTGTTATACTATAGAGGAGATTTTTCTAGTCATTTGGGTTGTACATTTTGGATTGACAGCCATTGGTGGTTTGATTAGGATGATTATGAGAGAGATGGATTTGCATTGGTTTGCTACGCTCATATGCCTCGATCAATGACCCGCCAAGTTGTTGATCGAGGTCAGTCTCTTTTATACTAATGTGGGCTCAAGTACTGTTACATAGGTTCAATTATCTAGATTTCTACTTTGTTATGCTTATAGTATGCTCAATGATTTGATTTTAGAACCTGATTTTGGGCTGCCGATGTTTTAAAAATAGCCGAAGGAGAGGAAACTGCACATGCAGGATGTACTCTTTTATTTTCCCCCTTTCTCTATTGAAGGTAGAACATTTAAATGGCTTGCATTTGAAGGAATTTACTGAAATTTCAATGGTACAAAAATGAGAATTTGATTGGGATTTGTTAGATCCTTAGCTTGCATTTGAAGGTAGTTATGGGAAGAACAATTGATAATGTAAAATTTGCTTGGGCTGAATTTTCAGCTTGTCATTGGTGGTACTTTAATGACGGGTTCGACCATCTAAGGTCAGTAACTGTGGCTCAGATCGAATATTCTGTGGCAAGTAAAAACCTTAAGATAACATTTTCGAGATTTCTATACCACCCTTCTCCAATAGCCAAAAAAAAAAAAATTGCATTCGGGAAACATACTCGTACCACCTCTAAAACAAGGAAAAGAAAAACCTGAGTTTATTATCCACCTATAATTGATGGTGTAAGCGATTATGGTAACCAAATGACCTCTTCTGTGTCGCGTGAGATAATTAGTTTCCTCTTTACGTAAATGCGGTGATGGGGACCCTTCTCACGTACGCTGATGTTGAACGACTCGGTCGTGTCGTATCGTCACTGCAGACAAATTATGGAAAGAGAGTGAGTCATACCTGGTGCCTAACTCTGTCTGTTGTCTGTTGTGACGGCTCCTTTGATCCTAAATCTTCATCGGCTGCATGTGGAGTGGTGCACTGTAAAAATGATGGTTCTCTTTTATTTGGTGCTGCAAAGTCCCTTCCTGCAGTGTCGCCCCTGGTCTCTGAAGCTGAGGCTGTGCGCCATGCTTGTCGGATGGCTGATGCTCTAATGCTCTCAAATGCCACAATTATGCATGATTATCTTACTATTATCAAGCTTAGCTCTACGGAGGATGTTCCCCCTTGGAAATTAAAACTATTATTGATGATATCAGAATTTTTGCTAGGTTACATAACCGTAGTTTTTTACACAAGTCTAGAGCCTATAATAAAACTGTTCATTGGGTGGTAGTCGCTAAGCTAACCAATTCCTTTCCGTTTGATTGGTTAGACTCCCCCCCCCCCTCTTGAGTTTCAGGCTTCTCTTTTATTTTGACTGTAATTTGAACTTTCCTACTTAATGTACTATTTCATGATCTTGTTCTGATCAAAAAAAAAAAAAAACTCTGTTTGTTGTCAGTGTTATGGCATATCTGTTAAAAGTTAGCACAGTTGTTTAAGATGAGTTGATCGAGAACACAAATTTCATATGAAACAAAAGCTAGTCTAACCAATAGAACTCACAGATTCAAATATCAACAATATTTGATATGAGTTGTTTCTTTTTTTATTCTATTTTTTATAGGGAGAATCCTTCGATCCACCCTTCATTTAGACTCATAGTCGCAACCAAATCTCAATTGCAGATAATCATCCGATAATTGCTTGCGTCCATCCCTTGGACTTACTTAGGTTTTATGTAAGTCCCTCCGACTCGACTCAAGCGTCGGTTCAAAACGTGTAGATTATGCCACATCTTATGTTTGACTATTGAACCAACTTTTGCATATTATCGTTGTCTTTTTTTATAACTTAGAAAAAAAAAAAGAACGAATTTTTCAATTTCTAAACAATTAAGGTGCAAATGCATCAAAATTCTTATTACATTTTTTATCTTAAATTAATGTGTACCATTGGATCAATAGATCAAATAAGTTTTCACTAATTATTCAACCAATCTCAATCTACCACATCATTTAAAATCTACAATTTAATAATAAAAGATTTTATCGACATAGCATAATTCTATCATCACACCTACCCATTACACAATTAGGTTATCCCCCATGCGGTGGGCCGACCCATAATTCGCTGAGCTGTCAGACTAACTGGCCAACGGGCCAGCCTATGGGCCATATACCATGTGCCAAACTCCTAGTTATATTTTAATATTTTCTTTGATGATAAAATCTGTAGTCTTTAGACACAAACGTTTTTACCAAAATAAAAAAATAAAAATTCATAACCAATTTACATATATTCGTATCTTGTTTACTGAGTTTGTACTGATTTTATTTATTTAAAAATTTTATTTTATACAAACACAAATAAAATTCATATAAATTCTAATTTCGTGTTGAATTTAGGAATAATGTTGCCACGTTTTTGCAAAAAGCTCATCTATATAATAAAGTAGAACGGTTTTGAATTTAAGAGACAAAGAGTGACTGAGATCCTTTTATGACAAAAAAAAAGACATCATCCAACGGATGGCGCTATCCCAAACTGTCTTGAGCTATTAACGTCTCAGATCGTTTCGATCCAACGTACCACATTAACTCTTAAATTATTTTTATCCCTCAAAATTTTTAGTTTCTAAAATTGAACCCCTACATTAAATTCACCAATTCAATCAAATTCGAGAATTAAGCGATCTCTCATTCCTCAACTCTGACTCTCTCTCTCTAAAATACAGATTATAACTGTTATCATTATTTTTTTGATTTTATTTCCTATGTTAAGGATCACTTTCTATACTGAGACATTGACTGTCTGTCACACTCTCATCTTTCATGATTCTCTTTTCAAACTAAAACACATGTCTCCCCAAAAATGTATCCTAATACAGTTGCTCTATATCTTTTCTATTCATATCACACACACATCTTTATTGTACATATATATAGTACAAAGATCGAAAATATACTANTACTCTCTATCTTTTCTATTCATATCACACACACATCTTTATTATACATATATATAGTACAAAAATCGAAAATATATTATATCTACATGTTATATCTAGGGAAAGTTTTATCTAAACACTATATAGTTGAGTCAAAATTCAATGACAACTCCTAACAAAATAACTTTTATCTCTATCAGTAGATAAAATAATGATTTAACTAAATAGTTTGTGAAAATACTAAAATTATCTTTTATTATGTAAATAGACTAAAATGTTATCAACTCTTTCTCCATTATATATGTGCTAGCCAGCCAACACACATAATTTCAGTCATTATATTATCCCAATATTTTTTTTTTATTTTAAAATGTTGTATTATAACTTTATTATAATATTATGCATTATTTTATCACTCATTTGGTTACATAAAAAAGGTTTTATAATTTTTAAATTTTTTTATCATAATAATTTTTGTGGTTAAAAATAATTTTTTTATAATAAAAATTACAATCGATAAAATCAATGTCAAAATCTCATCTATTTCTAATTCCTCTGCTATCATATCTTATTTACAACGTCGCTCGACCGCTCCTCACATATAATACTTCATATATAAAATTTAAAATTATTTGATAAAATTCAATATTAATTAAATAAATTTGATCTTAATTTTGATAAATTTAAATATTAATTTAGTTTTAATTTGATAAAATTAAATATTAATTTTACTATTAATTTGATTGAATTTAATGTTAATTGAATAAATTTGAATGTTCATTTGATGTTAAATTAAAGAAATGACTTTAATTTGATAAAGTTAAATTTTAAATTATATTAAATAGTTTAATTTAATAAAATTGAATGTCAATTTGATGTTGATTTGATAAAAATAAATAATAACTTAATATTAAATTAAATAAATATTATTAATTTGATGAAATGAAATATTAAATTAATATAACTAAACACTAATTTGATAAAATTAAATATCAATTTTGTGTTGATTTGATGAGATGAAATGTTAATTTAGTTTAAATTAAATAAAGAAAATTAATTTGATAAAATTGAAGATTAAATTGATCAAAATAAAGGCTAATATAATAAATTAAAAGGAAATGCATTGAATTTCAGAATTAAGAGATAGTGTTGTTAAAGTTAGGTCTATTTACGAGGAGTATTATTAAAGTTAGGTCTATTTACGAGGAGTATTATTAAAGTTAGGTTTATTTACAAGGGTGTGGATAAAATTTACCTATAAAATACTCGGGGATATTTTTATAAATCAATCATCGCCATTGACGATGTAACTCGAGAATCACTAACAGTGAGTGACAACGAAATTTCAAAATCAGAAGGAGATATCATTGAATTTAGACCTAACTACAAGGGATCTAGATGAAATTTTACCTGATATCTATACAAATATATATAATAAAACACATAAGAAGTTGAATTAATTTGTAAGTCCCCTATATTGCTGTACATTTTCCCCTATACTGCTATATAAAACACATAAGTCTCCTATACTGCTATGCATTTTCCCCTTAAAATCATCACATCACTCATTTCTATTACATGCTCAATCATTTAATATTTGATTAATTTGTAATTTAATATAATTTTTATTTCAGATATTATCCATACATGATAATATAGATTTGTTAAAAAAATTTATCGAATTTCATATTTTGAGAAAATTTTGTCAATATCTTTAGAAAAATAATGGGTAAAAATAAATTTTGAATGATTTAATCAAATAAATAAATGAAAGAAAAATTATTATTTAATATAAGATATAGATTTTTTAAGACTCAATTTTTTTGTTCTATCGTGCCTTCAGGCACGGGTAATGACTAGTATAATAATATTACATTATTTGGTCTTAATTTTTATTATTTTAATCAATTTAACATTACTCATAAATTAGGGGTGTCAAAATATAACATAACTCGTGAACATGATGAAAAATTAAAGGTTTGAGTTTTTTTTGAAGCCATTCGTTTCGTAAATAAATGGATTTCACACAATCTGATTAATAAATAAATATGAATGAAATTTATAAAAAAAATTTTAATTATACATAATTTATATAATTGGGTATGATTCGTTTACATATCAATTATATATAATTTATATATAATATAAATTCAATATAATATAATTTATTAGACATAAATTAATAAATATATTTAATGTAATAAAATATATTTTGACACAAAATCTATTGAGACCTGTCACGATTTTGTGTCACTTGACAGTTGACACGATCCGATTAATAAATGAATTGCGTATGAATGAAATTAATAAAAAAAAAATTAATTATACAAAATTTATATAATTGGGTATGATTCGTTTATATATTGATTATATAATTTATATATAATATAAATTTAATAAAATATAATTTATTAGATATAAATTAATAAATATATTTAATATAAATAAAATATATTTTGACACAAAATCTATTGAGACCTACCACGATTTTGTTTCACTTGACAATTGACAAGAATGACAGGCGTGTCAGACATAAAACCCAACAACATGTCCGACTCAACTCTCTCCCTCTCTCTCTCTCTGAACTAGTACTGACAACCTCAAGCTGATCCATCCGCCATTATCCGCCATTATTCTAATTACTCTTTCTTTCGATCATTCATTTAGGTGATCTTTCTCTTTCATATTCAATTATATATAGGCACAAGAATTCTATCTCTATTTGCTTGGAAATATTGTGGTTTGAAACTATACGAATTTAGGGTTTTCCTTCATCATTTTCAAGCTAGATTATATCAGCGTGGATTGCGTAGTGTTGAACTATCTGTTTGAAGCGTATGCTAGAATTGTTTTTTCTCGGGAAAATTTTGTTTTGTTTGTTACCTGAGAAAATTTGTAGGTTAGCTATTAAGGAGGTGAAATTTGTGTCTCAGATTTGGGAATATAGAATTATTTATTTGAAATATTGTAAAATCTGAAAATGTGGACATTATAGAGGAATCTTGACCTTTTGCCTTTTTGTATTAGGGTCAATCTAGAATTAATTGGAAAGTTCTGTTAAGTGAGCTACAATGGAACGTTTGAATTTATAGCAAAATTATTTGTTTATTTTTTAAGATGTGCCGTTTTGATCTCTGGTAATAACTGTCCTTTGGTGTGGTGAATTGTAAAATTATAGGACGATTTGGTTTGTTATTTGCATTGCCTTCCATTTTTGGAGTGTTTTGTTTACGCTGTTTTGTTTGTGTCACATGAAAAAGGATTATGATGCCTCCAAATCTGAATGGGATGTTGTAAGGGCCCAAATGATGTACATGAATTTGAATCAAGTTCATGGCTCATTGTGTTGATGTATATTTGAATAAGCTGGTAGCTTGTTTAATTTGTCTTCTTCGTGCATCGTCTTGAATAAATTGTGGAAAATAAAAAACATCTAGAGATAAGGAATGGTTTAAAGTTGGCAATACTATTCTAAAAAAAGTTGGCCAGTGCAAGAATCTCCCACCATTGCAAAGTCCGGAGGATTAGTTTGTCTTACCTTGTGCGGAGAGGCTATTTTTGTAGCTCAAAACCATCACACCCCAGTCACAATGGTCATTGAAATATCTAGACAATTACACCAAGGCCTGGAAAATTGTGCCAAAGCCCATCCTCATGCATTTGCCAATCTGTGGATTGGTATTGCTCCGGAAAATCGTATACATGGAAAAATTGAACACATTGATAATTCTCCCATGCTCCCATTGGCACATTTTGTTTGTGCATGTGTGGTTTAGGATCTAAGTGTGTGTTACGTAGACTAGTAATACACTACTAACAACCATTGGTTTGAGTTGTGAGAAAAAGTGTACTGGGTTATGATCAGTTGATAGCCATTAGTGATGAATATTTCAATTGCCTCCTACGTTATAATTTCCAAGCATGAGTTTTTAGATAACTTGAAATGACAATGTAGCTGGTGAAGGTAGTACCCATTTTTATATGGACAGAAGGTCTAAGAAGATAAAAGTATAGGTTGTGCTTTGTTTTATTTCGGGGCTTCTAGTTGGATGATTTTATCTTTATTTTTTTTTGGAAACATTTTTCTGAAAGGTGTTACTTCCTTGTAGACAACTAAAGAGAACGGGTATTACATTACTCATGATATATATGTTTTTTTTTCCTTGCTGCGTGCATCTTTGTATGATTAGGGTTGCAATTGCAACTCTCCTTGATTGTTTATGGTGTTCTTTAATTCTTATAGCCGTTGGACTTAGACCTCTATTAGTGGTTCACTATGGGAGGTAGTTTAATTTCGAGGGCGTCCTGCCATAATTTTTCCTCTATCTTCTTTCAAAGTATTTATCATGCATTTTCATGTTTGGTTTGGATGGGGGGATGGGAAAGTCGGAGATGGACTTTTCATTCCTTTGGAAACGAGAAGTTGTTTTCCTTCATTGTTGTTTGATAGAAATGAAGGAAAATAGGAAAGATGGATTTTCTATTGTTTTGTTTGATATGAGAAAGGAAATGAAGGGAAAACATCATCTATTTCCTACCATAAATGCTGATATGAATATGCTAGATGCCATCAAGTTCCAATTTATCTTGGTGACTTTTGTTTTTGGTAATTTGCTGATTATTGAAGTTTATGCAGGACTGATTTCATTTCCCTGGGGCACACTGCAAATAAACAATTCTTTCCACTAATATAGTTTCTGTAAAAACTCAAAAACCATGAGTTTTGTTTTCCGAGGTACTAGGGCAGATATAGAAACTGGATTTCCAGGATTTATTCCTGAGCGGCGTGCAGTGGTATTTCCCTGGGTCTCAGTAAAATTGACTGTATGATACTGTATATGTTTGCCGTCTATGATTCTTGGGAATTAGTGTTATAGGCTTATAGCTTTTCAAATAATCTAACAGTCCGAATGTTGTCTTGCTGCTTTTCATCAGCGTGTTCATGCAGCTCGGCCAGTTAATACTAATTCACTTGCTTTCCTCGTAACGGGTACTCTTGTGATTATCCAGTGCTTAGTTACTTTTGATTTTTACTCTTTCCTGCAACTTAAAAAATATTTGTTGATGTAACAGTTCTCTTGTTGTTCATGATTCTAAACTCCCACCAAATGTCCCCCAACTTTCTGGTATTCTCACCGCTGGTTATGACATTTTTGCTTATCTTCGAAAGTACATTTGATCTATAAGCAATCTAACTGATTTTTTTTAAATCTCTGTTGGTAGCTCTGGCTGGTGGTTGGTGTCTTTTTTATGGCAACAAGCCTTAGGATGTATGCAACTTGTCAGCAACTGCAAGCTCAGGCCCAAGCTCATGCTGTTGCAGCCAGTGGCCTTCGTGGTCACACTGAATTACGGTTGCATATGCCACCATCCATAGCAATTGCAACAAGAGGTCGGTTGCAAGGTCTTAGACTACAGCTTGCACTTCTTGACAGGGAATTTGATGATTTAGGTATGGATGCATGGAAATCTTTTCCTTTACCTACCTTATGCTAAAGTGGAAATAAACTCGTGTTTATGCCTAATTTGTCAATACTGTTCACTTGTCTACAGGTGTGAGGTTTCATTGAGGTATAATTCGAAAGTAAGTTTCTTAATTGAAATTTATTCTTATGTGCAGATTATGAAACTTTGAGAGCACTGGATGCTGATAATGTTCCCACAGCTCCTTCAATGACCGAGGAAGAGATAAATGCTCTTCCTGTCCATAAATACAAGGTTTCCGGCAGTCAAAGGTTTGTCATAATGTTTTATTTGTTGGGTATCTTCTTTCTTCATTGGTGCCTGTAGTGTATTTTTTGTCCATCTATTTTGTTAAATTGAACATTAAATCATTAATTAAATGCAGCGAATTATGGACCCTTTTTCTGTTTTGGGAAGCTTAAAATATTGACTTGCTTTTAAATTCATCATCCTCTTATGTCAACTTTTGTCTGGTTAGCTAGTAGCTCCATTGGCAGCATAGGCCTGTTTTCTGATATGCATCTTAATCATTTATTACCCATTTCATTTGGTTCTTGATAACTATGAATGGTTTTTCTGTTATTGGAAGCTTAAAATATTAACTTTTTTTTCAGTTCATCATCCTTTGCAGTCAACTTTTGTCTGGTTTGATTAGTTCGATTGATATCATAGGCCTGTTTTTTAATATGCTGCATAATCATCTCTGGAAAGTACATCTTAATCTGTTATTGACTTTTTTGTTTCTTGATAATTATGTGAAAATATAAAGAGAAAATAGGCCATTCAAAGCAATGAAGTGTAGTTGCCCTGACAAAACCGCAAGCACACCTTTTCCTCATTAGCAACAAAGGCATACCATGCACAATGCCTGTGTCGACATTATCATGACCTCTGTTCTTCACATGTCCAGGTGTACATACAAGCTTCCGTGTGTGTGTGAGAGAGAGATCAAAGCATTTTCTGTCTTTTAGTTTATTTTGTTGCCTCTCTACATGCGGCATGCATATTGCTTCATTATCTCAATATCCAGGTAAATTGAGGCAGCTCCGAATTGTTTTCTGGTGTATAATTTTCTAACTTGCTTCATGCTATATTTCGATTTGTCAAAATGTCAGCAGGTTGCAGATAGTGTTGTCCCATAAGTTTTGAAAACTCCAGGAGGGTTGTCCCATTGGTTTTGGATTAATTCTGAAAACGTAATTTTTATGTCTGGCTTTAGGAATCAATATGTACTTGGAGATTGTTTGGAATCACCTGGGACATAATGGATCTTCATGCTTGTTTTCTTAACAGTGCTGGCTCACCAATGCAACAGGCTTCGTCTTCAGTATCAGCATCAGCTGAGGTATGCTGCTACGTTTTATAATGCTCTAATATAGCTACACTAGCAAAATTATGTTTCAGCGGCAATGCTACTTGGTGGTTATTTTTTCTATGTTATTCAGATCGAGCCACAGACAAATTTTTCATATCTTGAGTGTTAGACAAGATCCACTTGCTACACGACTTCTTTTTACATTTTGTTAGTGTAGTTTTAAATTGTGATGGTGCTTTTATGACTACTTGAAGGTTGTTTCACACCAAAATTCTTTCATTTTGCTCTCGTGAATGGTTTTACTGTTTTTCATGTTGCTGACTTTTTTGTGTACTTAATTGTAGGTAAAAAGTAGGTAGAAACAGAGAAAAAAATGTAAATTTTTGTCATGTAACCGCTGCTAACATTGATGTTTGGATTAGGATTCTGTGGAAGATTGTCTCCATCTCATTAAGTATAATAAAGCATATTTTTTACAATTAGAAAATATCATAAGCATGTTTATCGAAACAGTTCAGAGCAGGTCTGATTTTTCAGTTTGATTGTTCATCATCTTTGAAGCCTTGCTTGTATATCTGGATCATGTGTGAGAAGGTTGAATGTTAATGAGCTCTAGACCCACAAGACTTGAGTAATGCGAAGTTTTCCTGATGATGGTTGTGCACTTGTTGTACTGAAGATTTTGTTTGTATCAAAAGAAGTAACGAAAAGGAAGGTTGACAAACCCATTGGAAGAGGTTGAAGGAAGCAAGTCTTAATGTTCTGCCTGCTATCTATCTAACTATATCCATCACCATAAGGGCAGAAAGAAAGAAATTTCTGGTTCTCTTACAGTTCATCAAGAGTGAGATGACGACTCCCACGTTATAAGTAATTGTGAACTTTTGTTTGACTAAATTAACCTTTTGTGTTAGTAGCGCAAACTCATTTTTGGCTTAGGAGTGGAATAATATGCAAGCTGATTGTTGCTATATATAATATTGGAACCATGTATATTTGCGGCAAATCTGATTCCAGATACATTTTGCCTTTCTAGTGCTGTATAATACGGTGTTTGCTTGTGCCCTTCCAGACTGGCACGTTACACTACGCATACATGCAACATGAAGCAAACTTATTTATCTTTAATCTCATTAGTCGTTTGTTTCTCAATTTTGAACTATTCTTTTGTGGTGTGACTGCACAACATATTCTCATATTTTGCTTCCTAGTTTATTGTTTTGTTACTGGAAAGTGCCAGATTTATCCTTTTCTTCTAAGCAGAAAAAGCAAGAGACTGCCAATGGGGGCACGAAAGCCTCAGAAGATGAACTGACCTGCAGCGTTTGCTTGGAGCAAGTTATTGTGGGAGAACTTATCCGTAGCTTGCCATGCTTGCATCAGGTTTATTCTCTTTCCGACGGTGAATTCTACTCCTTTGTCCCTCTGTTTGAGAATTTGTTTCTGGCAGTAGGAATTAATTGCATATGGACATATAAATAACTTCTGCAGTTTCCAACTTGGCAATGCCCTATTAAGTGATCCAATTATTGCCTTTCTGTTGTGGAGGAGCATTTTATTAGATTTATGCTCCCAGATACTCAGCGAGGAGCTGTGTGCTTTAAAGAACTAAATATTTTTGCACTTCAAACCAGTTCAGAAGACTTTAAAACAGTGTTGCATAAGGTGTATATGTGCAAGTGCTTAGATTATGTTTGGATATGAACTAGTTATTTTTTAATATGTCCACCCTTAATATCGTCTATTTAACATGCCAACAAGCCTGAGTTCACTTGTTTTTTGGTATTATCTTCCCTTGACATAAAGTTGGCCAAAAAAGTCCTCGTCATATTCAATTATATTGAACTTCCCTAGGGCAACCAAAGTGGCACGATGGCTTCCCTCGTTATTATTTACCAGGGTTGAATTCCATCTCCCCCCACCCCTGTGTAGAGATATACTGATGTTGTTGCCACACCTACCTTCAAAAAAAAAAAATGGAAAGAAAAGAGGTTGTATTTGGTCTGTTGAAAATTGTGTTTGTCTTTTGAAGGTTTGTTGTTTTAGGCAGGTTACCTTATNCAGTTTGATTGTTCATCATCTTTGAAGCCTTGCTTGTATATCTGGATCATGTGTGAGAAGGTTGAATGTTAATGAGCTCTAGACCCACAAGACTTGAGTAATGCGAAGTTTTCCTGATGATGGTTGTGCACTTGTTGTACTGAAGATTTTGTTTGTATCAAAAGAAGTAACGAAAAGGAAGGTTGACAAACCCATTGGAAGAGGTTGAAGGAAGCAAGTCTTAATGTTCTGCCTGCTATCTATCTAACTATATCCATCACCATAAGGGCAGAAAGAAAGAAATTTCTGGTTCTCTTACAGTTCATCAAGAGTGAGATGACGACTCCCACGTTATAAGTAATTGTGAACTTTTGTTTGACTAAATTAACCTTTTGTGTTAGTAGCGCAAACTCATTTTTGGCTTAGGAGTGGAATAATATGCAAGCTGATTGTTGCTATATATAATATTGGAACCATGTATATTTGCGGCAAATCTGATTCCAGATACATTTTGCCTTTCTAGTGCTGTATAATACGGTGTTTGCTTGTGCCCTTCCAGACTGGCACGTTACACTACGCATACATGCAACATGAAGCAAACTTATTTATCTTTAATCTCATTAGTCGTTTGTTTCTCAATTTTGAACTATTCTTTTGTGGTGTGACTGCACAACATATTCTCATATTTTGCTTCCTAGTTTATTGTTTTGTTACTGGAAAGTGCCAGATTTATCCTTTTCTTCTAAGCAGAAAAAGCAAGAGACTGCCAATGGGGGCACGAAAGCCTCAGAAGATGAACTGACCTGCAGCGTTTGCTTGGAGCAAGTTATTGTGGGAGAACTTATCCGTAGCTTGCCATGCTTGCATCAGGTTTATTCTCTTTCCGACGGTGAATTCTACTCCTTTGTCCCTCTGTTTGAGAATTTGTTTCTGGCAGTAGGAATTAATTGCATATGGACATATAAATAACTTCTGCAGTTTCCAACTTGGCAATGCCCTATTAAGTGATCCAATTATTGCCTTTCTGTTGTGGAGGAGCATTTTATTAGATTTATGCTCCCAGATACTCAGCGAGGAGCTGTGTGCTTTAAAGAACTAAATATTTTTGCACTTCAAACCAGTTCAGAAGACTTTAAAACAGTGTTGCATAAGGTGTATATGTGCAAGTGCTTAGATTATGTTTGGATATGAACTAGTTATTTTTTAATATGTCCACCCTTAATATCGTCTATTTAACATGCCAACAAGCCTGAGTTCACTTGTTTTTTGGTATTATCTTCCCTTGACATAAAGTTGGCCAAAAAAGTCCTCGTCATATTCAATTATATTGAACTTCCCTAGGGCAACCAAAGTGGCACGATGGCTTCCCTCGTTATTATTTACCAGGGTTGAATTCCATCTCCCCCCACCCCTGTGTAGAGATATACTGATGTTGTTGCCACACCTACCTTCAAAAAAAAAAAATGGAAAGAAAAGAGGTTGTATTTGGTCTGTTGAAAATTGTGTTTGTCTTTTGAAGGTTTGTTGTTTTAGGCAGGTTACCTTATGCAATGTGTGTGATATAATTGTGCAGTTCCATGCAAACTGCATTGATCCATGGCTGCAGCAGCAGGGAACGTGCCCCGTTTGTAAATTTAGGGCTGGGTCAGGATGGCATGAGAATGGACAAACAGAGATGGATGCTTCTTACATGGTTTAATGACTTGTAAACTGCCAGATAATAGAATCTGTTAACTTATTTGCACATCCAGTGTATACTGACAAAAGCATGAATCAGAATGAGAGGGAGATATACTATGTCCACCGTTACTATACTTGGCCTTGACTTGGGCATTAGTGGAATTGCAGAAAACTTGTCTGTCTATCGAATCACCCAAATAGTGCATAAGAATATGTAGTGGACTTTGCATCAAGTGATATATGTGAAAGCATGCTGTTTTTTAGCCATGTACCAAGCTGATTTTTGACGTAATGCACACTGCTAAGATGTACTTACATAGCCTCACAATCCGTTGGCCTTAGAGGGACCTCTCTTTCGGCTACTTCACAAAAAAATATTGGGCGTAACTGTTATATTACATCAATAGTATTACGTAATATAATCGTCCACTAATAAATAGATAAGTTAGCAAGTGAATTCTACTAGAATTCATAACAATTGCTGACGTTTTGTCACAATTACAAATAAGCTGGAATGAATATGTTAATACTCCTATTTTTACTCCCCCGTTTATCAAACACCAGTGCTTATTTTGCCCCCAGTTCCCCGTGAAGGGTGAAAACAAGAGGGATAAGGCGAGAGTCTTTGGATCTCTTATTATCCTTGAATTTTCCACAATGTGGAATAACCGCTAGCCATACCATTGATTGATGGTGAACCTTCAACGTATTGAGTCTCGTTTATTTTCATATAAGTGATGTATGGCTAAAATTGAAGAAAAAATGTATTGGAATGAATTCGTATGCCTCTTCTTCTAGCTTTTCTGCAACTACATTTTTCCAGCAATCTCACAAAGATTGCACAATTAAGTTCCTGAACACTCCCCTGGGGGAAGCCACCAAACACCACCTTGATGACCAGTGGTTGTGGCATTCCAATCTTGACAACAGTAGGTGGTAAAGTAGATGCAAGTCTTCATCGACCATAGTTCCATGAGGGGAAGAGGAATATGTGAGCGTTCAACCCTAACACAATGCTTAAGAGATTCACAATGCTGACTATTTATTAAAATGAAGGGGAAATTTCATTTTACTTCCATGTGGTTTACACGTATTTCAAATCACCAACTTAATTCTTGAAAATAGCAGTTTTTGAACTAAAATGTACCATTTGATTTTCCATCCAACTTAACCGCCAGTGTGAGTAACGCGTGGGGTGCAAGAATGGGTGTGAAAAAAACTATATGAAAATACAAAAATACCAACACCACTCTCTCTCTCTCTCTCACACACACACACACAGACACAGAAAACTCTCATGCACACAAGCATCTCCCCTCTCCCATATAGATACTAGATAGTCACAACCACACCATCACCCACCTCCTTCAGCCACAACCACCAATCTCCAATTTCCATTTATTCATGCAAACCACCCACCTCTGTCCGTCAAAACCCGTTACCATCCACGATCACTCACATCATCTTTTCATCACCACCCACATGCTTAGCATTCTTTACTGCATATATGAAATTTTAGAGCCATCTGTAAATGGTCAGTTGGAACAGAATCAAAGCTATAATATCAAACTCCAAGTGCAAACACAGAGTCAGAGAGCACGCTCAAAAAACCAACTATCACTTTAAAAACCTGGTAAGCAGATTCTGCAAATTTAGATGAACTTACGGGATATAGCTACCCAATGGTTTATATTTTCTTCTTGGTCAGGATTGCAATGCTGTTCCAGAAACTCCCTGCCACGTACCCTTTCAAACATTGTGAAGTCGACTAAGCTTGATGTCTCCATACAATTAAATCATGTCTATACACAAAGCACGTGACATGATCCTATTTTGATTTGCCCTTTCCCTTTCCTTGACCTTTCTTGGCTTCAAGCTTGGCTTGAATTCGAGCAGCTGCCGCCGCCTTAGCTTCTTCTCTCTTCTTCTTCTCCTCCTCTTTCAATGCAGCTGCCATTTCCCTCTGCTTCTTCAGCTCCCTGATTTTTGAAGTGTTAACATCCAAAATTAGGGAATTAGTGGAAGCCAGCACACCAGAATGGAAGGCAAAACCGATGAATTATGCATTTATTCTCTCAAGAAAACAGTAAAAATGCAATGAACATAAGATTACTTACTCGAGCCTAGCTCTCTCTTCTGAAACACTACTTGCACTAGAACCCTTCCGTGGCCTGCAGCCCACCAACTCCACCTCAAAAACAAGGGTTGCACTGCATTTGGTTTAGGAGTACATGGAGAATCACTCATTAGCAAGAGTGACAACAAGTCATATTTGTCCATGCACCATAGTGCAAGATTGTCTAGCACTTAAATCAAACACACAATTCCAAAGGCACACATTTATGGGAAAATGCAGGGTTGGAGACCCATTGCTTGTGGGTAATGCAATCATCCAACACCACATTGTTTTTCTTGCTTATCAAGTTAGTTATGGGTTGTGATTTATTTTAATATTAACCAGCAGCAAAATATATCTTCATTTTCAAACAGGAAGCCCCTAGCTTCTGGCCATGCATGCTATACCCCCATAGCACTTCGCCCCCATAGTTCAAACATAGCCACATAATTCCCATGTGGTATTGGGCAAATGTGCTACCCTTTTCATCCAGATGAAAGATCCGCACGCCCAAGGGCGGAGGGAGGCTAGGGCCAAGGTGGGCACGTAACCCCCCTAAAAAAAAAAAAATTTTATTAGTTATATATATATATTATATATTTGTATAATATATTATTTGTACCCACCCAAATCTAAGATAAAAATATTAGGCCCACATTATTTACTCAAAAGAATTAAAAAACTAAGTCCATTTAAAATAAAAAAAATTTGAGTCCACCACTATTTATCAAAGCTTATTAAAAAATCAAAATTTTGACTTATCACAGTCCACTCAAACGTATTAAAAAAATAAAACTTTTGGCCCATTTGACAGACATCAGTAACACCTATCTTATTAGTTATCGTTTTTTTTCCCCTCTCTGTCTCACTCACTCCCAGTTGCCCAACCAGAAGAAATAGAGTAAAGCTCCTTCCTCAGTTCCTTGGGTTTTTTTGTCGTTCCTTGCACAATTGATGTGTTTAGTAGAGAGCATGGCTAGAGCCAGCATATGCCTGAGGGGGCACATGGCCACCCTCAAATTTTTTTTCTTAACATTACCTATATATATATTTCAAGTATTTTTTTAATATTTTTAATTATGTTCACCCTATTTTTTTGGCACATCAATTAGTGTACACTTATATCAAATAAATATGAATTTTTTTGACACATTTTGGACATGTTATGTATATAAATATCAAAGTGATAAAATAATAGTGTACATAAAAAATAATAAAGTTGTTATGCAACGGTTTCAAAATATGAAAATTCACCGGAGTCGATTTTAAATGATTTTAATTAGCCTATATTTTGTAAAAAAAAAAATTTGGCGTCGCTTGTATATACTAAGCTTACCAAATTTTGGTATGTTGAGTTTAATGAACTTTTAAGTATTAAATAGGATGTAATTAAATATAAATTATTGTCCTATTTCTATTGATTGTAAAAAAAAAAAAAATTTAATTTGTTGAAATATTTGTGTCCACCTTGGCATGACTTTCTAGCTCCGCCCCTGCGCACGCCATACGTGCCCGTTTGGCATATTTGCATGACAAAAAGGTGTTTGGGGGATTAAGATTATTTTGTTATAACCCTTAATAGAGTTAGTTATGCACATTGATCCAAAACCATTTAAGGGTTATACGGCTACATTTGAACCATACGGTGGTGAAGTGCTAAGGTGGTATACGACCCCAGGTTATTAAAAGGAACTTGCCCAGATTTTGACAAGGAGGTTATGCTTCCTTCTTCCCCTGGTTTGACTGTTTTATGATTGCCTGACATCCCCCACACAATCAGAAAACATATTTTCAATTCCTATTTTTGCAAAGCCATCATCTACTAGATTATAATTTTTGTGCAACAAAACTGCTAGAGAGAAGAACTAAGTTTACTCTGGAGGGATATCTGGTGGAGAACCCGCACTGCCATAGGCATACTCTGGCTTGCAAGTGATTTTTGCAACCTCTCCTACCTGGGCAAACCAACAAGAAATAAATGTACATATCTGTAAAAAAAATTTATTTGAACAATCAGTGCTGGTGATGACTACACGCACTGACCTTCATGGTTCTCAATGCAATGTCCCAAGCTGTGATGACAGAGCCCTTTCCAAGTTCAAAGGTGAACACAGTGTTATCTTCACGTGTAGTATCGAAAATTTCACCAGTTTCAGCAAGAATACCTTCATAATGAACTGTTAAATACAAACAAGCATAGTTTAGTGATTTTACTTGCAAGAAGAAGGTTTACTATTATGACTAACCCTTCGTAATGAACTAGTGTCCTGTAATCATGTCACAGAGGGGCACCATCAAGAACAAGGCATGGAAAAGTCAAAAGTAATCTACTGCAGAATCTTTCACTTTAATTTATTTAAGAAGAAATACATTGTACTTGCACCAAAGGGTTTCCTATTTGCTGTCTAAAACAACAACTGTGCACCCCTTGTCTCCACCTTCCACAATGATAATATAAACACAGTTGTGAACCATTTAACAGACTAAAGGACAGGTACTTGTAGGCAACAGTATCTGCACTAAATTTAAGTGCAGCGAGGTTAGCCTCCAGTTTAGCACTAGCAAATGTTCGTATATTGCATATGCCATCCATGGCACCAGCAGAATGGACATGAAGACCTCATGCAACCATTTTTCTTCTGTAACTAAAAATGTTATAGCTATGTGACAAATTGAATGTCTTGGTTTAATCCTGTGGCAGCAATGCACATAACCCATCAAAGGGGGGGAGGTACTAGCCTTTACCTAAGCCAAGGAGAGTCCTATATTTCCAAAAACAAATGAATTATGGTTCTATATATGCGTGCATCACTTGATGTTTTCTTGCCTGTAGAGAGCCAGCAAAAATAGTTGGAGTACCTATCAGCAAGCTTTCACACATTCTAAATTAGCTATACAGCATCCCTCAGACCTTACCCGACTCGCTTCAACCGTCTCACAAAACCCCCTCCAATCTCACCTTTTAAGGTGAAGCAGGCAATAGCAGGGGTTGGAGAAGGGTGAATTTAGATCCCATCATTTACATTGCAAAGTGGGGGTCAATACCTGCACTTACAAGTTGCATTCCCACCAAGCCAACTATTCATTATTATTCCTACGTAAATAAAATTCACAACCTACAGCAGAGGACCACAGAACTAATGGAGATTGGTTTAAAAATATAGTGAAAATGTATATGAAATATGAGAAAAGAAAGCTTCTAGCCAACTCTTCAGGTGACCTGTATTTTATTACTGCAATCAACAAAAAGAGTGAATTACAAATCTAAACCAACTGGTGTAGGTACTATACACATTTGATGATCATGAGAACTAACTTTAAAAATCCCGAGGATGCATGCTTTCTAGTTTCAACCACTACGAACATACCATCAAGAAGAGGAAGATTCTGTGATGGAGCAATTGCATCAGGTTTGGCTCGCCTAATGATTGTCTTCATGACACCTCCATCTCCAGTCAAATCAATTACATCACCCATGCTTCCTAATCTTTCACCAATTTAATCTGGCAAAAAAAAAATCACAATAAAACTTGTACATCACAGAAAGAAGATTACCTCAACAAAACTGACCAAATTAAATGTCCAAAACTGCCCGCACATTTTAGTGACATGCATGCTCAATAAGAATGAATGAACATTTACCGATTGCTTGAAGGTAAAATTATGAATATTAAACTTGAAATTAGATGATAAACAAGCAAAAAGAACTCACTGTAACAAAGTCAACAGACCGAGTGGGGCAACCAATCACAAAGAGAATGAAGGGGTGACGCTGGGAGGGGTTGGGGACTCTGTTTTGCAAGCACCTTCCCTTTTCTACCGAAAAGAAAAAGATAAAATCATTTCAAAAATGGAGCCCAGAAGATGATGTTTTTTTCAGAATAGTTGCCCATTTCAAGCATAGAAGTTTAGCAGAGCCAAATAACATATGTAAATGGCTCAATCATATGATAATAGTTCCTCTGTATCAGTTGGGAATTTTTCCAGGAAATAATTTATCAAGAAAAAAGGAAACAAAACATGACCGTTGGTGCAGAACGAAGCAGTAGAAAGAAACACAAATGGTTTTCCCAGATGTAAGATGAAATGATAGTATTTTATCATCTTTATACAATCTTATCATCCTCATACAGCAAAAATAGAGGTAGATGAGCTTTATTAAATAATAAATACATGCATATATGTGCAATGCAAGTAACCTCACATAGTGTTATTAGAAGCGCGCCTAGACAATGGCCTAGGTGCAAAGTGATGTCAGGAGAGCCCAGATCGCCTCAAGTGTCGAAGGTGAAGATAGCTTTTTCAAAGCGATGATTATGTGCCAAAAGCGAGCACTTCACGATGTGGCGAGAAGAATGATTTTGTATTTTTTTTTTATTTTTCATGGCAATGAGAATGATTTTTAAGTCCTCAAGGTTTGTGGAAGCATCGAATAAATATTTACTTGCTTGACTTTTTTGTTTTCTGTTTTTAAATGTTAGGATTTGCTACATTATTGATGTTTTTTTTTAATTGAAATGTTTATGCTTTTGGTTGCCGTTAAAATTTGAGATATTATTGGTCTTTGTTTACTTTTAAATGTTTATGCTTTTAGTTGCCATAATAATTTGAGATATTATTAGTGTTTGTTTTAATTTAAATGTGTATATTTTTTTGGTTGCATTTGAACATTTAAAACTTTTTAAAAAAGGAACTTGAATATTTAATAGTAACTACACTAACATATTTGCAGGGTTTAATATAGTTCGCCTCGTTTCAACGAAACTCTCACTTCACCTCTTACATAAGCCTCAAGGGACCTAAACGTTTCGATTCGCTTTACGCCTTAAATAACACTGGTTTCATGTAGAAATTGTTCTCCACCACCTATAATAAAGCCTCGGGAAATTCCCTACAACTGAAAAATGTGCAAGGTGCTCTCTCCAAGCATATGTCTATGGCAGGAAGCTAAAAATTAAGATGAGAAATCATTCGATAAATCCTTGCAAACAATTAGCCATGGAAAACTACTTCTTGGCATCCCAAGTGCCATGACTTAAGAGGCACCAACATTGATTAAATTTAGAATAGAATTGTCTCATCTTCTTTCTAAGCATAGTGGGAACTGGGAACTCTATCAGACGATTAAGCATACAACAAAATTGAGATTGACCACGCATATGTTTTCTATGTTCAATTTCATATCAAGTTACAAATTGGTGATCCTTCTTTGCTTGCCACCCACTCCACCATGAATGCAGATTCACAAAAATAAATAAAAAAAGGTGCAATACATTAATACGATGCTGTGTCACAGCATCAACTAGGCCTGTCGTTTTCATCCATCTTACAAAAGATTAACTATTTCTGAATTATTTACCGTCACAATTTATGCAAGTGTTTATTACAGTTACATAACAACCATAACTGGCACCACTTAAAACTGCAACTTTCATCCTGACAGATACTACTTCCTGAAACTCATAATTATACCTAGTTTGTCCTCCTCATTCCCACAATAGGCATTCTAAGTATAGGTCATTCACCAGTTTTGTCCCTGTTACACAAGGGTGCAGGTAAGGATTGATTGGATGTGGACATAGTTTTTAGACTTATCTGCACAAGCAAGTGCCATCACAGTAGAACCCACAATTTGAGGTTGCTAGCCCAAGCACCTCTTTCCACAATAGGCATTTTAAGTATAGGTCATCCCCAGTTTTGCCCCCATTACACGAAGGGTGCTACCGTGCTAGTAAGGGTGGAGAGGGCGTGGATGTAAGGTCGTACATATAGCATAAGAGACAGACAAGATATTTTGAAATGGTTTGGCTTACATACCAAAACCTGTTGTATTGTTTTCTATTTATAGACATACAAACAAAAACTGAACTCAGCGAATAAGGGAGTTGTTTGATGACACAACGTATACATTGGTTACAAAACAGAATTTTAAATTTGCAAAAATTCAGCTGCAGAAGCATAAGCTGATGACTCTCGTAAATGGTTCTTACTTGGTCTTCTTCTACAGCGTGTACTCCAACAGTGTGCATAATTCCTAGACTTCTCTATACAAGCAAGTGCCCTCACAATTGAACCCACAATTTGAGGTTGTTAGCTTGAACACCTCATTTCCACTATAGGCATTTCAAGTATGGGTCATTCCTCAGTTTTGTTCCCATAACTTGACGGTGCTAGTAATGGTGGACTGGTTGTGGACATTATTCCTAGATCTATCTGTACAAGCCAGTGCCCTCATAGTTGAACCCACAATTTTGAGGTTGTTAAGCCCAAACATTTTACCACTTAAATCACTCAATACAGTCAAAGGCATTTTATTTTAGGCGTATACAAAAGAAATTAACATTCAAGATATCCACAATCAGACCAAACACAATACAAAGTAATACCAAAAGAATTTTTTTTAAGGTAGCACAAACAATTCATCAAATCCATTTCCCCAATCATAAATCCTCGACTCCACACAATCAACAAACTTTGGATTGATATACATAAAATTCAACAAACACATGGATAAAAAACTTGAAACAATCCACATAAGCTCCAGTTTTACATAGATACCTATACATATACACAGACGCAAGCATGTGTGTGTAGAACTAAGGTTTAAGGGTTGAGAGAAGTTGCGGACCTGTTCGAAGAAGTGACAAAAGTTGGAAATTGGATGAGAGAGAGAGAGAGAGAGAGAGAGATAAATGTTGGTGGTGAATTTGAAAGGAATGGCCGAAGTAAAAGGCTAAACAATTGGCACAAATTGGCGCAGATTACGTCGGCCATGAACCACTTTGCTTCTTTTTACTTTGCTTCTCTATCCAACCCAAATGAACTTAAAAAATTACTTTACCCCTACACTCTGTATAAAAGGAAATAGTTTGGAGTTTGGACAAATTACACTTTGTACCTAGACAAATTTTAAAATTTTTAATTTATATATTTAAATATTAATTTTTTATATTTTACTCTCAATGATATAAAATGAATATAGATGACCTACGCACCAACTTCCGTATTCCTCAAATCTTTATGCATTTTTGAAAGCGTAAAAAGCGTGATGACAACCCAACGTAGCTCCACTCGAGAATCTCTGTCATTGGCTAAAACTTTTACTCAAATTAAGACAATATGTGCGTAAAAAGTTTTATTTGATATAAAATATTTCAATTGAGAAATTCATATTTAAGTGAGGATAAATTTAAATTTAAAATAGAATAAAATATAATCATTAATTTTTTTAAAGAGAATAAAATTTTATCATTAATGATTTGAAGAAAGGTCTGAGTCTTCCTTAATTTAGTATGAACTTAGGTATAACATTTGAGAAGATTTAATAGATTTTTTTACCTAAATTTAAAAAAAAAAAAAAGTAAGGATTAGAGATACTTGTGTTGGGATTTAATACGCTTTAAACTCACAGACAAACACACATAATTGAAGAATAAATCAAGAACATAAAACAATAAGAAACAAGAAAGAACAAGATACAAAATTTTTTACGTAGTTCGGTAATTTGCCTACGTCCACGAAACTGCAGGGTTTTCACTATTGAGAGAGAGGATTACAGAGAACGGCTATTCACATTGATCAAACCCTAATCACCAAAATAACGGTCTTTTATATGTCCTTCAATTCATGGACCCAGCCTCAAAAAATTTTTCATTAAAAAACCACGCAACATTACTTCGAATCGGGTCATCATTCGGATCACACATACAAACTAGACTCCACAATAGCCCAACAATTTTCCCACTTGGAGACTAATTCAAACACCAACATCAAACCTCAATCCTCCCAAAAACAATCTCTCATCCCTGCAGCTCTTCCTCCTGTCCTCAAGCTAAGAGACCTACAGAATCTGAACAAGACTTCAGCTTCTCCACAGTAACCACTTTTGTGAACATGTCTGCCGGATTATCCCTTGTGTGAATTTTCTCTAAAGTGAATTGTTCATTCTCTAACAAAGAGCGAATAAAGTGATACTTTATGTAGATATGTTTGGTCCTCGAATAAAAGGCTACATTCTTTGCCAGATGTATAGCACTCTGACTATCGCCAAACAATTTAGAATTGTCTTGCTCCTTACCCAACTCTTTCATGAAGCTCATCAGTCATATCATCTCCTTGCATGTCTCCATGGTTGCAACATATTTCACCTCTGTTGAAATAGTCATTATTTTCTATAGCCTCAAGACTCAACTGACTGTTGCACTGCCTAATGTAAAAACATACTCTGTAGTGCTCTTCCTGCTGTCAATGTCTCATGCTAAATCAGAATCTACAAATCCTTGCAAACAAACATCAGAACCCCCAAAATTCAAAGCCAAATCTGAAATACCTTTCAAGTTGCGCAAAATCCATTTGATTGCTTCCCAATGCTCCTTACCCGGATTTGCTATGAACCTGTTGACAACTCCCACTGCATGAGCAATATCTGGCCTTGTATTAACCATAGCATACATCAAACTGCCTACCACCGAGACATATCGAATCTTTGACATATAGTTCTGCTCTTCATCTGTTACTGCACATTTTTCCTTCGAAAGCTTGAAATGACTTGCCAAAGGTGTGCTAACTGGCTTAGCACTCTCCATGTTGAACCTTTTCAGCACCTTTTCAACATACTCCTCTTGTGACAACTTCAACTTCATGTTTGTCTTGTCCCTAATAATTCGCATCCTAAGAATTTTCTTCGTAAAGCCCAAATCCTTCATTGCAAACTCCTTTGACAGTTGTGCATTGAGATTAACAATTTTCATCCATGCTTGAACCTGCAATAAGCATATCATCTACATACAACAAAAGTATGAGATATGACATACCAAGCTTCTTAATATAACAACAATGGTCCCCATGACATCTACTAAACCCCGTAGCTGCCATAAAGGTATCAAACTTTTTATACCATTGCCTCGGAGCTTGTTTTAACCCATATAGACTCTTCCTTAACTTGCACACCTGATTTTCCTTGTCTTTCACAACATAACCCTCTGGCTGATACATATAAATGTCTTCCTCCAAATCCCCATGAAGGAAAGCAGTTTTGACATCCAACTGCTCTAAATGCAGGTTCTCAATAGCCACAATATTAAGGACGCATCTGATAGTAGAAATCTTAACAACAAGAGAAAATATTTCAGTGTAGTCTATACATTGTTTCTACTCAAAATCTTTGACTACCAACCTTGCCTTGTACCGTTTGCTCCCATCATATTCTTCCTTAATCCTATAAACCCACTTGTTGTGCAAAGCTCTCTTTCCCTTGGGCAATTGAACCAATTTTCAAGTTTGATTTGATGAGAGAGAATCCACCTCATCATCCATCGCAAGCTCCCACTCTTTTTTGGACTCAACCTGCAACGCTTTCTCAAAACATTCTGGTTCACCACTATCAGTTAACAACAGATAATACAAAGATGGAGAATAACGTGTTGGAGGTTTTACCGTACGTGTAGTCCTTCTAGGAAGAGGAGTCTGTGGATCTGCCAGTGGAGTAGATTGTGTATTAGTATCCTGAGGCTCTAAGACATTTATGTTAGGGAGCCCCTCAAACTCTACAAAGTCTGATTTTACCGCAGCCTTCTTGGGTTGACTTAGTTTGTTTCTATACAAAATTGACTCATTAAATATCACATCAATACTCCTACGTGTTTTTCGAATCTCAAAATCATACAACCTATACCCATAGTTATTAGTATCATAGCCTATGAACACACATTTACGAGACTTAACATCAAGTTTATCTCTATCCTCCAATTCTATATGCATATAGGCAATGCAACCAAAAACTCGTAAATGAAATAAATTTACCTCCTTGCCTGTCCAAGCCTCCTTTGGCAATCCACAATTCAACGAAACTGAAGGCCCCCTATTGATCAAATACACAGCAGTGTTTACTGCATCAGTCCAGAATTGCTTAGGTATCCCAACATGTAACCTCATGTTCCTTTCACGCTCTAGGATTGTCCTGTTCATGCGTTCAGCAATTCCATTCTGTCTTGGCTTCTTTGAGACCGTTTTCACCCTTCGAATCTCATTCGTAGCACAGTAAGCCTCAAACTCACTGCTACAATACTCACTACCATTATCTGATTTTAGGCACTTCAATTTCATCCATGTTTCATTCTCAACTAATGTTTTTCAATTCTTGAAAACATCAAACACATTAGATTTATGCTTAAGGAAATAAACTCATAGTTTTCTAGTAACGTCATTAATGAAAGTAACAAAATAAGATGAATCACCAAGAGAAGATACATTTGATGGATCCCACACATCGGTATGAACAAGCTCCAGCTTCTCCATATTTAAAGTTCTTGTCACCTTTGTGAAGCTGACCTTCTTTTGTTTCCCATGAACACAATCCTCAGAAGTGTAAATCCAATGACTTACAACCCGACAATTTTCCTTTCAACATCATCACTTTCATTCCCTTTTCGTTCATGTGACCCAACCTACGATGCCACATAGTGCAATCAATCCCTGATACTGTCACCGTGATGCTATTGTAAGTACCCAAAGATACATATAAGGTTCTTTCTTTTTACCACGAACAAGTATCAAAGCCCCCTTACTTATCTTCCAAGCATCTGATGTAAACGATGTGACCACTCCACCCTCTGACAACTGACCCATTGAAATAAGATTTTTTGTTAAACTAGGCACATGTCTAACATCCTTCAATTTCAAAACCGTCTCATCTGTCTGAGTAATCTGTACATCCCCTTTCCCAACAATGTTGCAGGCTTCATCATCGCCCAAATACATTTTACCAAAGTTTCCCTGCACAAAATTTTTTAGTACATCCATGCGTGGAGTAGCATGGAATGAAGTTCCAAAATCTACAATCCAAGATTCATTGTGAGAATCCAACGAACAAATCAAAGCATCATTATCAGACTCATCAGCAATATTAACAGTATTTTTACCTCTTTGATTATTCTCATTTTGCTCATTTCTTGGTGCCTTGCAGTCCTGCTTCCAGTGCCCCTTTTGACCACAGTTCCAACAGCCCTCATTTTCGTCACGAGATTTACTTCGGCCTCTGTTTCTCGAATACAACTTTCCCTTGCCCTTTTTGTTGCCTCCCTTATTCATGCCCTGCCTCTCTCTTTCCGTATTGAGTGCTGAACCTAAAAGAACATCCTCATCCGATGTTCTTCTCCGAGCCTCATCTCCTAGTATCAACGCCACAACATCCTCCAATTTTATCTTTGTAAACTCGGAAGAATTACTTACTGTCACGACAAGTCCATTCTAAATTTTCGACATATTCAATAAAAGGACAAGAGCTCTAATTTCATCATCAAAAACATACTCACGGATTCTAACTGATTCGTAATCGTATTAAATTCGTTGATATGTTCAACAACAATAGTATTTTTAGACATCTTTAAGTTAAACAACTTTTTCATAAGATATACCTTATTCATCGCTGAAGGCTTTTTGTACATCTTTTCTAGGGCTTTGAACAAATCTGATGTAGTCTTTTCTTTGGCGATGATCGACGCAATCGACGGCGCGAGGCACGGTAGCATAGTCCCTAGGGCTTTGCGATCCAGAAAATCCCACTTTGCTTTCTCCATATCCGCTGGCTTTGTCCCATCGATAGGTTGATACAGATTTTTCTGATACAGAATATCCTCCATTTGCATCTTCCAGAACGTGTAGGTCGTGCCATTGAATTTTTTGATCTTGACTTTGTCTTCAGCCATTGTGTAAATCATTGACCTCTTAACCCAGAGCTTTGATACCAGTTGTTGGGATTTAATACGCTTTAAACTCATAGAC